TTCTTTTGTCTTTTTGCCTTTTATCTCAAAAAGTGTAATAGATAGAGTAGGTAGAAACTGTAAGTAGCAAAATTGATAAGCAATAAAAGATCTATAAAAATGCCAATTTGACTGTAACCATTGAGTGACTCTTTTTAGTGAGTCCCTTTAAAACATGATCAACATGTTTACGATAGCGAAAAAACAAACGATGGGTGGAGACCGGGCCTTGTTCAACTGCAGACATCACAAACAAAATTGATTTGGGGTGTATTTGCAGGAATGGTGTCAGTACACTTGCTCCTATAGAGGGCAATTTTAATGCACTTAAGGTTATCAAGAATATTTGTGGCCAGTGAAAGTTCGTCTTTTTACCAGAGGTAATTATTTTTTCCAGGATGACAATGCCTCTGTCAATCATGCATTGTCCACTCAAGTTTTTGTAGCCCAGAACGGAATTAACTGTATGAGCTGGCCTGCACAGTCTCCAGACCTTAATGCAATAGAAAACGTTTGTTATTTATCAAAAGAAGCTTCAAACAGGTACTAGGATGATTAAATCTACCAAGCATTCTGAGAGTATGGCATGGCAATACCAGTACATAGTCCCCTACCGGTTAAAAATTCATTGTACTGGAACAAAATGCTAACTTAATCAGAAATCTGTAACATTTTCTATATTACAAAATAAACTGTTATCACAGAGATATGTCTCGCCTTTTTGTAATTTTGATAATGCAAATGTTGAAATTAAAATAGCAATACTTTATCATGTAAGTTATGCAAATATTCAAAGTCGATGAACCATGACTGAAGGTACATGGCTAAACAATCTCCATGGAATGAGATGTGCCAATGCTAATACAACTGCATACCAAATACCACTGACTTATTATAAGTTGTTCCCTTTAAACAAACCTAAACACAAACATTAACTTGTAAACTATGTAAAAGTTTCAAAGTCAATGAATCATGATCTGGGGTGGGGCTATGTAATCTCCATGGAAACGATATTTGCAAATGCCAATACATTTGCATACCAAATATCATTGACTTAACATTAGCAGTTCATCTTAAACTGATCTAACCACAAACTAATACATGTAAACTAAGCAAAAGTTTCAAAGTCAATAGACCATGACTGAGGGGGCGGGGCCAAATATTCTCCATGGAAATGAGATGTGCTAATGCTTATACAACTGAACACAAATTAACATTGGCCTACCACTAATGGTTCCCCTTGAACTGACCTAATCACAAACTAATACATGTTAACTTAGCAAAATTTTCAAAGTCTATAGACCTTGACTGAGGGGGCGTGGCCAAATAATCTCCATGGTAATGAGATGTGCCAATGCTAATACAACTGCATACCAAATATCATTGACCTACCACTAGTGGTTCCCCATAAATTGACCTAATCACAAACTAATACATGTAAACTATGAAAAGTTTCAAAGTCAATAGACCTTGACTGAGGGGGCGGGGCCAAATAATCTCCATGGTAATGAGATGTGCCAATGCTAATACAACTGCATACCAAATATCATTGACCTACCACTAGTGGTTCACCATGAACTAGACCTAATCACAAACTAATACATTGTTGACGCCGTCGCCGGAAACAGCATACCTATGTCTCGCTTTTTGACTCCGTCAAGGCGAGACAAAAATGATAAGCCGGTCGTTTATGTTTATAAACCAATGTCATTAATTTAACAGAGTAACAGAAATTTGTATTGTACTGCACACAGTCTGTGCTAAACTGTTTTAGGGTTTGTCTGACCGAAAGAGAAATTGGACTTTTCTACTATATATTCAACCAAAATATTTTTAAATTTTTGTCTGTCCGAATGATTTTTTGTCTGACATTTTGTCGGTCAGACAGAGTTTGGGATACACTGTGCACAACAGAGGACGTACAACAGACACATATCATGACGTAACTGGAAGATAAAACAGTAAATAAGTTGTTATAGAAAAATGCAATATAAATATAATTGTATATAGAAACTATCCCACGCATCAATAACAAAATAACTTTGCTAATATTTCTTGTTTATTGCAGAAAATGATGCTTCTGAATTCGTGGTCCTAAATTACCCAAGTAATTATGTTGCCTGCAACACAGAGCAAAGAGAGATTATTGCCACTGTCGATTTGCCAACACTTCGGGTGAAAGGTGTGTTAGGACAAGAATCCCCAAGTTGTGTACGTATTTCTTCATGCCAGTGTCTTGCCTCCTATGCTGTTGTTTATGTTTTCAGTGTTACAGTGTCTTGCCGCCTATGAGGTAGACTATGTCTGAAGTACATTAATCGTCCGTAAAACACTTGTTTGTTGTCCCCTTTTTTGGCCTCTAATTTCTTAACAGTGGGGATAAATATATATATATTTTGTGGTATTAAAACTTTTGGTAAATTCCACAAAGATCCATACACTTTAACTAAAGTTATTGTCCGGAAACCAATCTTTCCACGGATGCCGCCGAAGACGACGTGATAGCAATACTGTGAAAGTATTTTTATTCGTGGGTATCAATTTTCGTGGTTTCAGCAAAAGTTACATGTTCGTGGGTTCTTAAATTCGTGGATTTTAGTTTTCTGAAAAAAAAAATCGAGTGATGAATTTGAAGACTTCAGAATCGGATCTTCGTGATATTAATCATATGTTGTTTTATAATGATTTGTGGGGCATTGTTAAATAAGGTGTTCATTTTCACTAACTTGTTCGTCCTTCATAGATAACAAATTCATAATATCTTGAATTGTGGAATCAATTATTATGACATAAAAAAGCAAGCCCAAAATGAAATCAGTATTTTTTTTCGTATGAGAATTATGAAAAACGGAACATTTCATTATCGCATATCATCACCGGACATCTGACTTTCATCGATAAAAAAATATTTCTCGTGAGAATTAAAATGTTAACAGTCGTAAATTTTAGATTTTTTAAAGATTAAATGGGTAAAATCCGGTCTGAAGTTGTACAAAAAAAAATTTATATTTAGTTCATAGTACGTTGGTTTATATGACCGTATCCATGTAATCAAACCTACATGGGGATCTTTCCGTGTCTGGAATTGGACAACAGTTATTATATTCGTTGGACAGTTAAATTCGTGGATAAAGCCATCCACGAAAACCACGAAAATTGGTACCCCACGAATAAAAGTACTTTCACAGTATACGAACTCAATTTGTTAGCACTCATATAAAAACTTGTGAACTCTGAAAGACTAAGTTCATGTATCAGTAATACCAGTATACAGAAATATATGGATATAACCTTTTTTCAATTAATTTTTCCTTTAAATCAAATCATAGAGAATTAAATCAAAATAAGCTTCTGGTAATCGTACAGTAATGTTGTTTTTCTTTCGAAATGAACAGCGAACCAGGAAAAGGTAACTATATCCGGAGGGGTTTACTCCTGGTTTGCCCACTTTTAATTACACCTATTATTTATTAGTAAAGAAAACAAAAAAGACAAAAGGTTTAATGAGCGCACAATTATATAGTCTGTTCCAACTTAGGTATATAGTTTATCAGTGTTTTCTATATATATTCAGGTATTTTTTATTTTGTAATTCCATTTTCATAAATGTATAGATAAATTATAAATAAATTATATATTTTTTCTCTCAATAATTTAACATACATTGTGTCATAGGTCAAATTTATTTGTTCAGTGTATGTTCAATGGTGTTAATATGTCCTTTGATTGAGTTAAGCTATTTCAGTTGATATTCAGTTATAGTGTGTCTTTCTATGTTGTGATGTTACACTATTGTTTCAGAAAAAGGGTGAAGGTTTGGTACCATTAAAACGTTTAAACCCGCTGCATTTGTTTGCACCTGTCCTAAGTCAGGAATCTGATGTTCAGTAGTTGTCGTTTGTTGATGTGGTTCATAAGTGTTTCTCGTTTCTCGTTTTTTATATAGATTAGACCGTTGGTTTTCCCGTTTGAATGGTTTTACACTAGTAATTTTTTGGGGCCCTTTATAGCTTACTGTTCGGTGTGAGCCAAGGCTCCGTGTTGAAGACCGTACTGTGACCTATAATGGTTTACTTTTATAAATTTTGACTTGGATGGAGAGTTGTCTCATTGGCACTCATACCACATCTTCTTATATCTATGTAAAACAATGGCACTAGCCTGGTTTAAAAGTAATATAAAGTATATTAAAAAAAAACTAAACAAATTTCGTGCGCATTGTTTTGGGGCCGCTGAAGGCCCGAAGAAGCTATAGAAAAATGTATGCAAAATCATGCATTCTGCGCATTTCCCAGAACCTACAAGGTTCCATATCACAAAGGGAAAGCTGGGTTTGAGTTTGGGGGTAATTGCCCTAAACGTTTAGGAATTTGGGGCCAAAAAGAGCCAAAAAACAAGCATTTTTCTAGTTTCCAGACAATAACTTGTGTTCAAGTGTATGGATCTCTCTGAAATTGTACTGCAAGGTACCATACCACAAAGTGAAAGCTGGGATTGAGTTTGGGGGTGATGAATCATAAGGGGGTTCAAAATATTTGGGGGGGGGGATTTTTTTTTCCTTTTTTTTCTTTAAAATTTTCCATTTTAAATTGGTTATTTCTGATTTATGTATAAAAGCAAATAATAATGATATGGTTTGAATAGGTAAATTAAAATTTTTTAAGTTCTTAGACCACTTTCATTATGTGTCAGAAACCTATGCTGTGTCAAATATTTAATTACAATCCAAATTCAGTGCTGTATCAAGCTTGAATTTTGTGTCCATACTTGCCCCAACTGTACGGGGTTCGACCTCTGCGTTCGTATCAAGCTGCGTCCCAGCGGAGCATTTTATTGTTATTGTTGAAGTTTACATAATGTCCTATTATTGTTATTATATTTGCCTTTAAAACTCTATGCTGTGTCAGTTCATGTTACTCAGATATATTTCTCAGCAATAACGGGGTGCAAACGATTAATATTTCATATGAAGGATGAACATAATAATTAAAAAAAACATTTTTTTTTATGTATTTGCAGCAAGCTTCTGTAAGTTCCGTTGTAGCACCAATAACAACAAAGGCTAAATCTTCAATAACTTAACCGGTATCAGTGACCCAGCCAAAGAAAAAGCAAACCTACCAGGAGCTTCAAATTGAAGTTCTGAAGCTGGACAAAACAAGAATCCTTCAAGAGAAAAGAAAAATTATATCTGAACGAGAAAAGCTAGAGCTAGAAAAAAACTCTCCTGAAATTAAAGATCAAGAAATTGAAACAGGAATTAAATGATAATGAACAGTGAGACTTTACATTCCAGTATCAATTGTTAGATCTTCAATTAATTGTGTGATTAACAAATTAGTGATTATAAAAAAATAATTTGTGAAAATTTTAATATTTCTCTTTGTAAAATCAGTGTGGACTGATTTTTTGAGTCTTTTTCTAATCTGCTGCAAAAAAAAAAAACTATATTCTGTGAAAACAATTTATATACAAGTACAGTCTGCATGAAGCTAAAAGATTTATCCTCATTATATTAGGGAAACAATTGTAATTTTGTACTATCTACGTTAAGAAAATGTAGCATTAAACCATATTGCACATGTACATTTTAAAGCTTTCCAAAAATTATTTGTATGAATAAACTGTAACAAAACAAAGAGATTTACAAATTGAAATCAGTGCTAGAAATGACCAGCATCATGAAAATAAAAATAAATGTTATTTCATCAGTTTGTTTGATTCAATTTATATTACACTAGAAATAAGTTGTGGCAATTAAGTTACGGATATTCATTCCGTTTTGATGTCCCAAATCTTGTCCAACATCAACATCTTCTATTTCCCGGTCATCTACCATTGGCTCTTTTTGCAAAATAGCAAAATTAAATAAAATGGCACAGGCAACAATAACTTTACAGACTCTGTCCGGGGTCAACCTGATTTCTGAATGCAGCAGATGAAACCGTCTTTTCCAGCGTCCGAAAGTCCTTTCAATCACGGACCTTGTCCTGGATTGAGCACTGTTATATCTCTCTTGTTGTCTGAAAAAGGTATTGCTATGGTAACTCATTTAGAAAATTTATATACAAATATTTTCAAATAATTAATTCACTAATTATCTTGAATTTGTAATTTGATTTTTAGATGTGTTCTAAAGTTGATAATATTTTCGTTCTATGTAATTCAGAAGACTAGTTTTGTTTGGCACTACAAAGTTGGTTCATACAAATGTCAAATATAAACTTTAAAATCAGAATGTTTTTTATGAAAAATAGCAGAAGAGATCTTTACCATAGAACATGGGGTTCTATACTAAAATAGTTTTTAACATTGACTTTTGACCTACAAACGTTTTGATGTACGCTCTGGTAGTGGTTAATGTACATGTAAAGCAAACACTGTGAAATAAATCATAACGGTAATCAAGATATATGGCAAACATAATTGTGTAACTGACGGACGGACAAACTGACCACTATAGGGCGACCCTAATAACTTAGATTCATGACACAATTTGATTATAAGATAAAAACGCAGTTGCTATATAACATGGAAGCTACAAGTAAATTTAATTATAAACATATGCGACATTAGTGTCAATGAGACAACTCTTTTTTAAACGACAAATTATTGTCAAGTAAGGCCTTGTTCACACCAAACGTCATGTACAGTAAACATATTTACAATTAGTTTAATGTAATGTACACTGGTTTCACATTAGATTCGCTCCCTTATGAAGCCATTTTGATGATTTGCAGTACTTCAAAGATACTCAAGATGTTTCGATTACGCAATACAATTTCGCATATATACACGTACATTGCAAAGACGCAATATTTAAAGATATATATATAGCGAGTTGATGATTTTGTGAAAAATAAGGTAAAAAAACAATTTACCGTGTTGAAGGCCTTAAATAAGGAGTCATGAGATAAGGTTTACAGGCATAACCACTATCTCCTAACAACAGTCCATCAACATCAAATCCTCTGTGGTTTTGATCCAAGTGTATCCCAACATCAGAATTTCGGAAAATGAAGCTGTCATGTGTTGACCCTGGCCACTTGGCAACAATGTTGGTGAATTTTCCTGAAATTGATATATATAATCTTGTAATTCAGTTAGAGAAGTATATTGAATCTGAGTACTTTCCTACAAAACTATTACATTTTTACTATCGCAATTAACCGTTGCAAGAAACTCATTCCCACACGCAAAATCTTATTATGGGGTCCTCAGCTATCAAATGCGACACAGTTATATCCATGAATTTTCTATTTGTGTTCCCATTGAACTCATGACGTGGTTTGATAGTTTGCTTAGATATGATTTATTCTACAAATATGACAAAACTTTGAAAACATTCGCATTTAAATGAAACTCAGTGGTGGATTAACAACCGCTTGTGTATGCTTTTGTTTGAGGTGATGTGGTTGGACCCCGTTTAAATATAATAACAATATGCAAATGTTGGAACCCCCATTTTAAAAATGAATGTAGTCGCCCTTGAAACACGAAATTTAAAATGTCAATAATATATCATTAAATCAGCTGTAAATATAAAAATAAGAAGATTTGGTACGAGTCCCAATCCTTCCAAAACACAGCAGTTAAAGGTTAATGTACGACCTGCTATGTTATTGATGTCAAAAATTATTTGACATACATACATTTACCCTTATAATTTCATCAACTGAAGTAAATTTCTGTCCTCCATGCCGGATGCATGCATGAATAAACCAACTAAGAATATTTTATTTCACTTATATATAATATTGTCGGATAAAACTTTCGATGGCTCATATTTTATCGGGTCCCAATCCGATCTTGCATTACGGCAATTAGTTTTCAACGTAACTATAGCTTGTGCCTAGAAAGGTTATACTAGTATAAGAGAGACAACTCGAACGTAATTAATCATCACCAAATTATAATTGCGCTGACCAAGCATCTCTTAGTTAATTGCTTTTTTTACGTCCTATAAAAACAACGTTCTTGAGATTTGTCAAAAATGAATGACACTTTAATTTTAAAAAGAAATAAACCAAACAGTAACAAATTAATTATGGTCGAAAATATTCTTTTCTATTTTGTACATCGACTAACAATTTTTTTTTTCTTGTCTGTATAAACTCTCCTTTTTATACGACCGCAAAAAAATTTTGTGGTCGTATATTGGTATGACGTTGGCGTCGTCGTCGTCGTCGTCGTCGTCCGGCGTCGTCGTCCGAAGACACATTGGTTTTCGCACTCTAACTTTAGTTTAAGTGAGTGGATCTTTTTGAAATTTTACCATAAGGTTAAATACCACAAAAGGAAGGTTGGGATTGATTTTGGGGGTTATGGTACCAACAGTAAAGGAATTAGGGGCCAAAAAGGGGCCAAAAATAAGCATTTTCTAGTTTCCAGACAATAACTGTGGAACGGTGTATGGATCTCTCTGAAATTATACTACAAGTTTCCATACCACAAAGGGATGGTTAGGATTTGCTTTGGGGGGTTATGGCTCAAACTGTTTAGGAATTAGGGCAAAAAAGGGGGAAAAACAGGGTTGTCCTGGTTAATGGACAATTAATTAAGTACAAAACATAATTTAAAGCAGTGTAAGGGAGATAAATCAAATACATCATTGAAATTATCTCCCTTACACTGCTTTTAAATTATGTATAAAGTAATGGTTAATGAACAATAAAGATAATTTAAAACAGTGTAAGGGAGGTAATCCAAATACAACGTTTTGGTTACTTCCCTTATACTGCTTTTAAATTATGTTTAAAGAAATGCATATTTATAAAGGAAGACCAGTAAAAATATCTGCAAATGTTGCATCTTTTTTTTTACAAAAAAATCCATATGAAAGATTTGACACTATATTTTTTATTCTATTATAAAATAGATTAAGTTAGCACTATGGTAAATTTAAATGGGTAATTATGGTTGCCAACTCCATTGGAAATTTGAATTGAGATTATGACCATATCTTGAGGGAAAGAATTTTTTTGGGGAAAAAAGGGGGGGGGGATAAAAAGAAATTGTGGGGGGTCAATTTTTTCTCATTTCAGATTTCAGAAATTAAAAAGAATTATTCTTCAAAAATTATTTTTTTTTCAAATTTCAAATATTGGAAAATTTCAAGAAGTCTTTAATTGCACAGTATGGCGCATTAGATTTGTAAAATCTTTGATCACATTTATTTATTTGTTATGCCGAATCTAACAGTGTATTTAGATTTTTAATTTTGGGTCCAGTTTTCAAATTGGTCTACATTAAGGTCCAAAGGGTCCAAAATTTAACTTTGTTTGATTTTAGCAAAAATTGAATATATGAGGTTCTTTGATATGCTGAATCTAAGCATGTATTTAGATTTTTGATTTTTGGCCCAGTTTTCAAGTTGGTCCAAATTGGGGTCCAAAATTAAACTTTGTTTGATTTCAACAAAAATTGAATATATGGGGTTCTTTGATATGCTGAATCTAACCATGTATTTAGATTTTTTATTTGTGGACCCCGTTATCAAATTGGTTCATATTGAGGTCAAAAGGGTCCAAAATTAAACTTTGTTTGATTTCATCAAAAATTGAATTATTGGGGTTCTTTGATATTCCAAATCTAACCGTGTATTTAGATTTTTAATTTTGGGTCCCGTTTTTTAAATTGGTCTACATTAAGGTCCAAAGGGTCCAAAATGAAACTTAGTTTGATTTTAACAAAAATTGAATTCTTGGGGTTCTTTGATATGCTGAATCTAAACATGTGTTTAGATTTTTGATTATGGGCCCAGTTTTCAAGTTGGTCCAAGATAGGGTCCAGTATTTAAACTTTGTTTGATTTCAACAAAAATTGAATATATGGGGTTCTTTGATATGCTGAATCTAAACATGTATTTAGATTTTTGATTATGGGCCCAGTTTTCAAGTTGGTCCAAATTGGGGTCCAAAATTAAACTTTGTTTGATTTCAACAAAAATTGAATATATGAGGTTCTTTGATATGCAGAATCTAACCATGTATTTAGATTTTCTATTTGTAGGCCCCGCTTTCAAATTGGTTCATATTGAGGTCAAAAGGGTCCAAAATTAAACTTTGTTTGATTTCATCAAAAATTGAATTATTGGGGTTCTTTGATATGCCAAATCTAACCGTGTTTTTAGATTTTTAATTTGGGTCCCGTTTTTTAAATTGGTCTTCATTGAGGTCCAAAGGGTCCAAAATTAAACTTAGTTTGATTTTAACAAAAATTGAATTCTTGGGGTTCTTTGATATGCTGAATCTAAACATGTGTTTAGATTTTTGATTATGGGCCCAGTTTTCAAGTTGGTCCAAGTTGGGGTCCAAAATTAAACTTTTTTTGATTTCAACAAAAATTGAATATATGGGGTTCTTTGATATGCTGAATCTAACCATGAATTTAGATTTTTTATTTGTGGGCCCCGCTATCAAATTGGTTCATATTGAGGTCAAAAGGGTCCAAAATTAAACTTTGTTTGATTTCATCAAAAATTGAATTATTGGGGTTCTTTGATATGCCAAATCTAACTGTGTATTTAGATTTTTAATTTTAAGTCCTGTTTTTAAATTGGTCTACATTAAGGTCCAAAGGGTCCAAAATTAAACTTAGTTTGATTTTAGCAAAAATTGAATTCTTGGGTTTCTTTGATATGCTGAATCTAAACATGTGTTTAGATTTTTGATTATGGGCCCAGTTTTCAAGTTGGTCCAAGTTGGGGTCCAAAATTAAACTTTTTTTGATTTCAACAAAAATTGAATATATGGGGTTCTTTGATATGCTGAATCTAACCATGAATTTAGTTTTTTTACTTGTGGGCCCCGCTATCAAATTGGTTCATATTGAGGTCAAAAGGGTCCAAAATTAAACTTTGTTTGATTTCATCAAAAATTGAATTATTGGGGTTCTTTGATATGCCAAATCTAACTGTGTATTTAGATTTTTAATTTTAAGTCCTGTTTTTAAATTGGTCTACATTAAGGTCCAAAGGGTCCAAAATTAAACTTAGTTTGATTTTAACAAAAATTGAATATATGGGGTTCTTTGATATGCTGAATCTAACCATGTATTTTGATTTTGGACATTGGACCATAATAGGTAAATTAAAAAAAATCAAGTTCTTAGACCACATTCTTTCTGTGTCAGAAACCTATGCTGTGTCAAATATTTAATAACAATCCAAATTCAGAGCTGTATCAAGCTTGAATGTTGTGTCCATATTTGCCCCAACTGTTCAGGTTTCGACCTCTGCGGTCGTATCAAGCAGCGCCCCAGCGAAGCATTTTATTGAAAATAGCTAAGTTAACATTTCATTTGTTTACCTTCGTGGTCACAGATACCCTGAACATTGATGGAATGGAAGTTTTTCCTGTTGACGAATGCATACTCATTATCACTGGGTGCTTGTTTGCGAATGTGAGTTTCATCCACTGCTCCTATAACACATGGGAATCTGGCAATGTCATAGAATCCATTTATAATGGCTGGTTTGGAAGTCTCCTCAGGCCAACGAAGAAAATCTGCCCCATGAGAGCATATTGCACCCGTCACTGCCTGAATAATCCTTGAAACGGTTGAATTATTGTACCCGAACGTATCTCCAATGACTTGCATAAAGCTGCCAGAAGCATAATATCTTAATGCAATTTTAATCTGAGTTTCTAGCGGAATTGCATGACTTCTGTGGGTAGGTCTTTTAAGATCATCATTAAGCAAGTTTGTTAGAATTTGAATGCTTTCTTTCGAAAACCTATACCTTGCCTGAAATTCAGACTCTGTGTATGGTTCTGCACCAAGAAATTCCCTATAAATACGTGGTTTATACCTTTGCTGTACATCATACAGCAAGCGGGCAGCCATATTTAACCTCTGGATAAGAACTTATCCGAACCCCCAGACACTGGACAAAATTTGTCCATGGTTAAGCTATTTTATCCACTGGACAACTTTTGAACAACCGAATTTGTCCAGTGGACAAAAGTTATCCAGTGGATACAGAATTTATCCAGTGGATAACTTTATCCAGCCTTTTGAACAACCGGGCCCTGAGTTCAAAAGAAGTAAATGTAAGCAATTACAGACAACCATACAGACCAACAATGAGAAAATCCCATACAGTATACTGTGGATTCATTTATTTTTTTGGGTGTCAATTTTCGTGGATTGAGAAAAAGTGGACTTTTTATGGATATTCACTTTCGTGTATTGACAAAGTCTGCAAACAACCTATAGAAAATATGCCATTCATTGAGCATTTGAATTTTTCCAGTTCCCCTGTACACACGAAATCCATGAAAATTGGTATCCAACGAATAATAATATAGACAGATATGAACCAAGACAACCACTAAACTGTATAGGCTCATAAAGAATGTGGTGTGCTTAAACATGTTCGTGAGAACACAAACCTCCCCTAACCTGGGACAGTAGTGTAACAGCACAACATAAGAACAAACTGTAAAAATGCATTTGGCTTAACTCAAAAGATCAGTACGTGAATAAAAAGTAAAATAAAAATAATGAGCTCCAAGGTAAATTTGAAAAAAGGGGGAAGTCCATAAAAACTGACAAAACCAAGAGTTATCAACCAACCAAACGAGTGAAATATAACTCATATTCCTAACTTCGTACAGGCATTTTTCAAATAAATTGGCAGGTTAAACCTGGTTTTATAGCTAGCTAACCCTCCCCTTTTATGACAGTTGTTTATAGTTCTGTTATATTGACAAAATTACATTGCAGACATGCAACACAACTGACTAAAAAATTAAAATAAAATGCTCCGCTGGGCGCAGCTTGATACGACAGCAGAGGTCAAATCCTGAACAGTTGGGTCAAGTATGGACACAACATTCAAGCTTGATACAGCTCTGAATTTGGATTTTGATTAAATATTTAACACAGCATAGGTTTCTGACACAGAATGAATGTGGTCTAAGAACTTAAATTTTTTTAATTTACCTATTATGGTCCAATATCCAAAATCTAAATAAATACACGGTTAGATTCAGCATATCAAAGAACCCCAATAATTCAATTTTTGTTAAAATCAAACTAAGTTTAATTTTGGACCCTTTGGACCTTAATGTAGACCAATTTGAAAACGGGACCAAAAATTAAGAATCTAAATACACGGTTAGATTCAGCATATCAAAGAACCCCAATATTTCAATTTTTGATGAAATCAAACCATATCATTATTATTTGCTTTTATATATAAATAAAAAATAACCAATTTAAAATGGAAAATTTTAAAGAAAAAAAAAAAAAGGAAAAAAAGGGGAAACCCCCCCTCCCCCAATTTTTGGTACCCCCTAATGATTCATCACCCCCAAACTCAATCCCAGTCTTCCCTTTGTGGTATGGTACCTTGCAGTACAATTTCAGAGAGATCCATACACTTGAACACAAGTTATTGTCTGGAAACTGTAAAAATGCTTGTTTTTTGGCCCCAAATTCCTAAACGTTTAGGGCAATTACCCCCAAACTCAAACCCAGCTTTCCCTTTGTGATATGGAATCTTGTAGTACAATTTTATAAAGATCCATACACTTACACAGAAGTTATTGTCCTGAAACTAGAAAAATGCTTGTTTTTTGCCCCTTTTTGGCCACGAATTCCTAAAATTTTGAGGCAATTACCCCCAAAATCAATCCCAGCCTTCCCTTTGTGGTATGGTACCTTGCAGTACAATTTTAGAGAGATCCATACACTTGAACACAAGTTATTGTCTGGAAACTAGAAAAATGCTTATTTTTGGCCCCTTATTCCTTAACGTTGTGGGCAATTACCCCCAAACTCAATTCAAGCTTTCCCTTCGTGATATGGAACCTTGTAGTACAATTTCAGAAAGATCCATACACTAACACACAAGTTATTGTCTGGAAGTTACAAAAATGCTTATTTTTGGCCCCTAATTCCTTAACTGTTGGTACCATAACCCCCAAAATCAATCCCAACCTTCCATTTGTGGTATTGCACCTTATGGTAAAATTTCATAGAGATCTTTCACTTAAACTAAAGTTATTGTGCGAAAACCAATGTGTCTTCGGACGACGACGCCGACGTCATACCAATATACGACAGCATAAAAACATATAAATAAATCTAACAAAAACGTTGCTGTAGTTGATAGTAAAAAGTTTTTGCAATTGATGGCATATTGACAAATACACTGATGAAAAAGTTTTTGTAGTAGTAAATACTGTATATGGTATACACTTTCTCAATAAAGTTTGAATTAAGTAAAATACAAGGTAAAAAAAAATGGAAACAACAATGAAAAACCTCCTGTGTCCAAACCCCAAGACCCAGCTACACCAGGAATGCCTAAAGTCACAAACCTGATGGATACATAAATATCAAGTATACGCCAAAAGTCATACAACCAAAATAAACATAATAGCACAAAGACAAATAAAGGGAAAACTGTAAAATAAATAAAAAGATACACAACTATGAGGCACAAAAACAACTTACATAAAAACAGTAGACACAAAGCATTGAAATAAAGAGTACTCACAGTTACTGAAAGCTAGTTCAAAGCCAATTAGTGAACCTTTGTGAGCGCGCTCGCATACCCAACTGTTGCAGTAGTATATTTAGGTAAAAATTCTATTGAAATTTTAAATGGGCATTACTCCTAGTAAAAATATTGGATCATAATTTTCTGTTGATATGCAGATCTACATAAAATGTCCTAATTATCTATAAAGTTTCATGAAATTCTGTTGTGTGGTTTCAGAGAAGTTGTGATGACAAACTGTTGTTGTAGTATATTTAGGCGAATATTCGAAGTTAAAAGGGGCATAACTCCTAGATAAAAAATTGAATCATAATTTCCTGTTTATATGCACATCTACATAGTATGTCCTTACTATCTACAAAGTTTCATGAAATTCTGTTGTGTGGTTTTCAGAGGAGTTGTGATGACAAACTGTTGCAGTAGTATATTTAGGCCAAAATTCTAAAGTTCAAAAGGGCGTAACTGCTAGATAAATTAACTGTTGACACAGAGATATGTCTCGCCTATCAGCATAAAATTCAAAAAAGACAATAAGAAAACTTAACATTGAAAATTGCTAATTAATTCAAAGTCACTGGACCATGTCCTAGGGGGCAGGGCCTCAAAATAGTCATCAAACTGATATGAACTGATAGTAATGCAACTTCATACAAAATATCATTGATCTATCACAAGTAGATCCTATCAAATTAACTACCGTACAGCAGAAAACTTAACATTGAAAATTGCTAATTTATTCAGTCACTGGACCATGTCCTAGGGGGCAGGGCCTCGAAATAGTGGTCAAACTACTGATAGTAATGCAACTTCATAGTAAATATCAATGATATTTCACAAGTAGTTCCTATCAAACTAACTTAAGAAGAAAACTTAACAATTGTTGAAGCCGGAGCTGTCGCTGGAAAAGCAATCCTTATGTCTCGCTTTCCAGGACTTTCGTTGCAGGCGAGACAAAAATTGAATCATACTTTCCTGTCTACATCTACATAATATGTCCTTTTCAATTACAAAGTTTCATGAAATTCTGTGTTGTGGTTTCAGAAGAGTTGTGATGACATGAACGGGACTGATGGATGGACTATGACAGATTGGTCAAAATCATTATATCCTACACAACAAGTTTATCATCTACAACGTTTCATAAAATTTTGCAGTGTGGTTTCAAAAGAGTTAAGTTGACAAGAAGACTGACAGACAGACAGGTCAATAGACACAACTTTGTTGCGTAGGGTATAATTACAACTAATAAATAAATCATGTTCTCCCAGACTAAAGCTTTATATTCAAAGGAAATAGATGTGGGGTCTGACAGTGAATGTGGGGTCTGACAGTGAATCACAAAGTACAGTTATCCCATATAAAACTTGCTACCTAATATCAAGAAGTTATGGGGTACTTATATTGTAGGGTTATGGAGAGAATAGGCAGAAGTGAACCAGGATAGATGGATGGGAAGGCTGTTTAAGGTTAAATGGCCAATTAAATGCATATTCATGACGAGAACATATCAGTCAATATGAATATGAACCCTGCTTTGTACTAGAACGACACTCAGCCTGATTTTTAACATGCTAGTTCAAAAGGTCACAGTCTGTACGAAGACATGTAACCCTACCTGAACACATTATTATGACTCCAAGTTGAACAGTCATTGCTCTTACTCCTTAATGCCGAGTACTTAGGGGAGAAGCAGCTAATACCAATTTTAGTCTATGGTTTGACCCAGCTGGAGTTCGAACACACGGCCTTAAGACCACCAAGGGGGTTGAGGTAAACCAGTATACTATCCTTCCTTCAGAGTGGGGTATTATAAATTCTATACATCCTTTCCTTTAGCTTAAGTGCAGGTCAAACAAATTATACAACATACTGTAATTTTATCAATTCAAATCTTTAACTATATTACTGAAACTGATTAGGATTTTTAATTTGCATGACAGTATTTTTTTTCTTAATGTTATACAATATATATGATTTAAGTGACACATAAAAAATATTACAAACAATTAACAGTTCAAGTGCCGAGCTCCTCTGTTTTTCTCCGTTTATCTGACATTTCTTCATTGTCCTCTGCAGGTCTTTTGTTTTTATTGTTATTCCAAAGTTGATCAAATGTTACAATAATACAAGTCATGTTATCACATCCTGTTCCATCTCCTAATGTGTTAGGGGCCAGACATTTGTCAAATAGCTGAAAAAATAGAAATGTATGTTGTCAAGTTTGAACTTTTATCAAATAGAGGTTAAATAGA